AAAGAACAAGAAAAAGAACAAGAACAAGAAAAAGAAAAGAGATGAAAAAGAAAAGGCTCATGCACATACATAAATCAATTAAAAGTGTAATGCATCTTTCTTTAATTAAATCCCACCGTTGAATTCACTGGGCAGCCCCAACTGGTGGTGACCTCTGCCCCCCTTCGTTTTGTTGACTGCCACAGCTGTTAGTAAATCACCTGCTGGTGCGGCTCTCTGGGGCTTTAAAGGTCATCTGTCAGCGGCTGCTGGGGAGAGATAAAGAAGAAAAACAGAACCTAAAGTCTAAAAAAAAAACACCTTTCTGAAAGCAAAGCCATCTGAGCACTGTGCGTCCAACCTTTCCATTTGGCCCACTGTTTACCTTGCTGGCACCTGGGTGTGGGGGACGCTTTTAATTCTCCCTACTCTTTTGTATGCATTTTTCAAGTTTCCACATACTTTTATAATCCTTTTGTTTTAAGCCTTTCTTTCCTACAGGGGAATCTGTAACCCTATTTCAGCAGCACTGCTGAGTGCCTGCAAGCTGTGTAGAAATGCCTGCAGGAGAGGACAATGCAGTTTCGGTGGGGGAAAGCAGGGCTTCCCCTACCCTAGGGCTCCATTCCTACTCCCTGACCCCTGGCACTAGGCACTGTGACATGACATGGCTGGGTTTGCAGGATGGCAGTGGTAGGAAGGGCACAGCATGCATTTCCCCATCTTCATGTGTTTAGGAGCAACAGTGAGCTACCTGGACGATGCTCCCATGTCCCCTCCATTGCTTAGGAGCAGCTTGCAAGGGGGTGTCCTTGTTTGCAACCACCTGAGCTGCCCTGCAGCTGCATTGCAGACATGTCCATGCCATGTGCCCCATTGATCTCCCCTCCTTGTGCAGAGCACTTAGTCCTCATGCCCCCCTTTCTACCTACTCCATGTTTTAGCAAGCCAGAAGCAGCTATACAACCTCAGGCTGCTGTTTCATTTCCAGTAATACATGGCTCCAGGGGTGTAATGCTTATCCAAACCAGTCATATTGATAAGGCCTGTCTACTGAATGCCAATAATGTGACTTTGCCCAAATTCAGCAGTCGGTTGGGTGAGGGGATATGGGGTGTTCATGGAGCAGCTCATACCTAGGACATGAGAGAGGATGATTGTTATAGATGATTCCTTGCACAAACCATTCCTTCCACTATTTATGGTTGAAGGGATTATTGGATTTTATGTTTATTCGTCACTTCCACTATCACCTTAATTTTTAACTTCATGCAAAATGTTGTCTTTGAATATGATGTCATTTTTTACAAATATAATGTTATCTTCTTATGAAATGGGTGCATGGACAAGACAGATAATTTGGGAGCTTTTCTTCCACCTGACAATTACAGACATATTTTCAATAATTCACTATTTCAGCTCATCATTTAAGACACAGTAACCTTCTCAGATTTTGATCCCAAGTCAGACAGAACGTGCATCTTCTTTCATTTTTTTTTCTTTGGTTTGTTCATACATTAAAATGAAAGGGAAGCCCAAGGATTAGGGAACCCACTCATAGTGGGTAAGTAGAAAGCATAAAAAGTAGTTGGCAGAATCATTTGTTTAGCTTGGAAGAAATAAGCTGTTTAGTATTTCAGAAAGGGGAAATTCTCAGTAAAGAAAACAAAAGGGTTGAGGACTGCATCAGGCAATTGCTTCTTTGCTGCAGGAATAACACACGGATGCTTCCCCTCCCCCTACATCTCGATGATGAAGACCAGCCCCCAAATACTAAACTACTCACAGGGCCCTACTGACTAGGTGTGGGATGGATCTATCTCTGCATTAGCAATTGTAAGAGTTCTCCATAAGGAGGACTGGGATCCTTCAGAGCAAAACTCAGATGCTACTTGCAAAGTGTTCCAAGTCACCAAGATTCAGGAGCAGAACAGCCTCACGTTATGCCAAAGTACAATGACAAAGGGCAACCTGTACGCAGAGAGAAACTGACACACTGTCTCTGCCTGCTGTCACATCACCTGTGGTGTCAGAGATGAGTGAACTATGAGCTGCGCTAGACTTAACAAATTGTTGTTTGCTTTGCAAAGCAGAAGCCAGGAAATACGTAAAGAGCTCACTACTGACCCTTCTGCTGCTCCATGGCTCTAAAAGTCTGCAGGAAGTGGCTCTCATGGTCATCCAGTGCTGGTGTAAGCATCTCCATCTTTCAAGGCACTCTTTATTGAGCATTTCTATCATCTTTTGCCTAAGAAAAGAGTGTCTTTATACTTTCTTGATTAGGGCTGTCTATAACCTCTACATCAGCCAGGGGATGTTTCACTTGAAATGCCAGGGACTTTGCTTCTCTCTAGGTTGGTTCTTGGGTAAAGTAAGTATAAAATGCTACTAGGATATTTGGTTTAGGCTTTCCTAACATCAGTTGTGACAACCCATGGTACAAATATAGAAGGAAAAAAAGGACAAAATACATAATTTAACTAGGCATAAGAAGTGTTTGTCAGGTATTTTTGAAATGCATATTTTCTTTCCACACTGTGGCTGAGGCAAATTTCAGGCTAATGCTTAAAAGGCATTGTTCTTGACAATTATGATTCTTTGGTTGAACAAGCTTTGCCAGTCTGATTTGACTGAGGAGCTGCAGCAGTTACATTAATCAAAGAGTCCAAAAATCCCCTTTCCTCTGCAGCTTGTGTTGTCTCTCTTCCACGCAGCTCCGCCCACCTCAAGGGGAGATCAAATAACATCATGAAGATGAGTTGAAATTCTGTTCACAAACCCACATGTACCAAATCCAAACCCTGAGACAAACGGGTACTCAGCCAGTAATCTAAGCAGAGACATTGTACTTTTGCAGAGTCATTCGGGAGCCACTGTAAACCATAATAAGGGCTAAACGCAAGATCACAGAATCATAATGAGTATTTTGGCAAAACAGCTTATTGTAGGGAACACTCTCTTTGCAATTTTACTCTTTCACATCTGACAGACAGTGTTTAATGTGTGACAGGGAGAGAGGGAGAGAGCAGGAGAGAGAGAGCACACAAGCAGATATCCAGCACCAATAACATGAATATAAGCCAGAGCTCGGGGCTCTGTGTGTGCAATGGGAAGCAGGATCGTGACCAGTAACAGAAGTTTCAAAAAGTAAGGCTTTTTTTCTCTCTTTCAGTGTTTGATACTTCCATCTACCTTTGACTGTCCCTTAACTATGAAAAGAGGTTGCTTTCCAGGCAGGCTGAGAGGAACTGAAACAAATTCTCACCACCAAGGTGGAACGGTAGGTACCATCTTGTTTAGTTTTGGTGGCTGGACTCTGCTTTAGCTAGAACTCATACCTGAATAGAGGTCTTCACCCTGGCCCTTCAACATGCTTTCTCTGGGACATCAAGACTTCAGTGTGTCCCTTCAGAATACTAAATAATGCAGTTTTGATGGTTGAGATTCTTCACCTTACAACATTTTATTCTCTAGAATATACTTTTATTTTTAGACATAGTTGTTTGAACTGTCTGTGAGATACAGTTTGGAGAGTGCTGAACGTGTTCTGCTCTTTAGAACTCCACAAGATATGGCACGTCATTTATGTACTTATGAATGCAGTCCCTTCAGGGGTCACGCTTGAAACATCAGTGAGAGAGAAAAACATTTGAGGAATTGAAAAATGCACCCCAAGAATCCTGTTTAATAGCTAGTGAGTTGGAGGCTGAGACATGGCCCAATGGAGGTGAATGGACAGGATCCTCTGGGGACACCAGGGCAAGGCAGGTGGAGGGGAAACATACAGGGCTGCTAAACAAACTCACTTCTGAAATGGACAGCCGTGGCTGTAGTCTTTTCTCACTTTTTACTCTCAAGAGTGTTCCAGGTGAGGCAGCAGACGTATGATCTGTGACCCATATCCATTGTTTTCGGGGCACAGTTACCTTTTCTCAGGAATGAAAGCCCCCAGCTGATGAAAGCTTAACTTTTCATCTCCTTCCCTGCTACAGCCTTATCGTACACAGGACTTTAATCCCACACATCACTTCAGAAATATCGTCGTTAAAGATCTGGGTATACATTTTGAGATAAGATTGGCTCGTGATAATATTACTGACTGTGTAATTATGGAAATGAGAAAATAATACCCTCAGGCTTTGTTGTAATGACTTCTGAACATCTTGCATCATCATAGGCAGACAGCAGGCTTCAGGATGCCATGAATTATTAAAAGGAATGTGGAAAATCCTGTTTTGGTTGGTGTTGATGTCTCTAGCAAGGGAGGACACCACGTATCTTCACTGTGAAATTGGATCAGGTAGAGAAACATGTAATCTTTTTGAAAATAAATAGCTAATCTTTACTTGATCTCCTGTACTCTTGTCTTTTGATGCATCGGTAAACTGCATTCCTGACAACCACCCCTGCTGATATTGTGGCCTTGAGGGACCTTGGCCGCACAGTCTATGCCTCTGTTCTGAATCAAAAGACTCTATGGAACTATTGCAGACCCGGCTGCACACTGCACATCAGCGCTTCATCAGATCAAGTTAATTCATGATGTTATTACTATTTTACTATGAGAAGTGTTGATATAGGAATATATTCTTTTGTCAGTGACTGGGTGTATGATGTGTGTGCTGGACTCCCAGCAAGAAGAAATTCTTCAGAAGAACATCAGATCACTGCTGAAATGTTATGGCCTACTCAGTGAACATATATTAGCAGACACGGAGATGAAAACATACAAATGAACTTCCCTGGGAATACTTCTGATAAGTTTTTTAGAAAGGTAATGCAAACACACAATTCCTCCTAAAAGTCCACTTTTGTCCTCTTCCTTTTAATGAACCTCTAGGGAAGTTAGAATTTTGAACGAGACCTCCGCTAATAATCTTCCAAACAGGATTTCATACAACTAGTAAGACATGAGTCAAATTTCCTCTGCAATAATGCTGCATATTTATTCCCAGGAACACGTATTAATAAGCTCAGGCAAGTCAGGCAATTTGATCAAGGAAGTCAACTGTGGGAGCATATAGGTTTCATGAAGAACTTCATTTCTTCTCAATCAACATGCAAGAATTATGACAAAACTCCATTAGAATGAACTCTTCTTGAAGACACTTTTGATAACATTTCATCCACTTAATCCATGCTCTCTTAGACAGTCAGCAAAACTTGCTGTGGTGCACTGGGCAGTCTTCTGGCCTGACAGACTATATCATCTCATGACTTGTGATTACCAGAGGACTTCTCAGTGTTTTGGAGTTTCTTGAAGCTCACCCCTATGCTGCTTTGCTTTTTCTGTTTCACTGTAGCTATATACACTGTGACCTAGATCTGATGCTGTTATGACCTGCTTAGTGATTATTGAGGCCTCAGAGAAACATTCTGAGTAGAAGTCAGTTCTTATCTTGTGAAATCATAGCTTGCTGCTTAGTGTTTGCTGATAGCACATCTTGGTATAGGGGCACTCAAGTACTGGTGACATGTAAATGTACTAAGATGCCATCTATTCAATGTACGTAAGCATCTCTGCTCAGAAGAGCCATGTAGTATCACCAGATGGTCACATCAATGCTATTTTTGGACACTTTTGCCCCCGAGGCAATCAGAAAGGTTTTTGCTAGATGGCAACTCATGTCTTCTATATGTGGGAGTGGAGATTTGCTGAAATAAAGCTAAGCTATGTTGCTTTTACTTTTTTAACCATTAGTCTCATCGTATGGTGTGAAAATGGGTGTCTCCAACCTGCTTCTTCCTTCCTCACTGCAATTTGTTCAAGCCACACCCTTATCTCTCCATCATTGCAACAGTGATGGTTGCCTTCACATGTTGAAGGTGCTGTCTGAACATGTTATGCCACACTGCAGTGTTTGCAGTGGCCAGCCATAAAGCAGATGGCTGGCTAGAATTTCAAACCCTTAATGGCTCAGGCTCTGGCTTCACCGAAAACTTCCCAGGGAAACTTTGGTTCTGCTTCAAAAAGAAAGAAAAAAGAAAAAAGAAAAAAAAAAGATATGTCCAGATACTCTTGCACATTTTTTTGTTTCCCTGAAGTGACCGCTGTGAGCTTCTTTATCCTTTCCTCCCACCCACTCATGCTATATGATACTCTCTCTAACTGAGACCACTCCTACTTTGTTTAACTGAATTTTCTGAAGAAGGGCTTTTTAGTGTATTCTCCAAGACGTTGCAGTAGTAGGTGTTAATGTATGCATAGTACCTTAGTACCTTAACAATTCCACTGAGAGTCATTGGAAAGTACGATACTGTTACATTCCTTGATCCACTAAACAGTGACTACGCATTACTAGGACACAAATATCCACATTGTACCAGAAGGACATTTCATGCTGTGTTGGCCACAGAGCCATTCTACTGAAAGCCACACTGCTCATCTTCTGAACCTCTGTGGCAACAGGATCCCAAAGGTTATTATTCACCCATGGCTGATAAAATGGTACCTGCCTTCAGTGTCCAGTTGCCCATTTAGTTCTGAGTGGCCAGAGTCAGTAAGGTTGTATGAAGGACCATTGCTGAAGCTCATGGCCCTGTCCAAAAGCCAGGAGCAAATCAGTTCTCTGACAAGGATTATTTACCATTTTCTCATGTTACATGCTGTATTTGGTCATGTTCAGTAACTCTGTAGTAATCAGACAAGATGGAACGGCAGCTTGTCAGCTGATTTAATTAAAAACACATTTTTTTTTTTTATTGCCTCTCACACATCATTAATATTCTGTCTAAGACACGCCTGCAATCTAAAGATTGGAATCAGTCTCACTGTGCTCTTTCCAAGCTTGAATTCCCAGACACACAAACCTGGGAAAGAGTTTTAAAGGGACAGGTAATAGTTAGAAACTAATTTGATTACATTGAAATGGACCACTCATTGGTCCAAATAAATTTATTTTATTAAGGAGTATTAAGGGACCAGTCTTTCAGGTTGCTGTTAAATGCAAGGCAGGCTTTGCTTCCATAAATATCAGTGAGAATAGAATATAGTTAGTATTTCCCAGGAATCAGGTCTTTGCTCTGCAGACTTCTGTTCATTTAAACAGTTGGTTATGTAAATATATTAAAAAGAGTTGAATAAAAAGCACTACACCCTTTTTAGCTCAATTTGTTATTTACATACTTAGCAACAGTGTTGTACCATCTCTTTCCTGGTGTGCCAGGTAGGACCCATTTCACAATGACAGCATATCAGCAGGCATATGCACTCAGTTTACAACCAAATTAGAAGGAAAAAAAATCTAGCATTTAAAATTATATACAGCAGTTTATTTAAACAGCGATTAGCTTTCATCAACAGTATGTGAATTTTTGTTTTCTTTAAGAAACCCTGCCATTCTCAGTCACAGCTGCAGCCCTCCTGCAGCACTGTGTTACTCAGTGACTTGAACTGAGCTTTACAGATATTTCACAGCCAATTACCATACAGGTTTCTTATGTTAAAGTTAAGGCAACTGGAGTCAACAGCCCCTGCTGAATGAAGGTAAAAGCTTGAGAACATTTTGCATAACAGTCATCAGCGTAGCCGATACCTATTAGAGTGTTCTTGTGCAGTAAGCCTACACAGATACTATCTCTCTTGCCTGTGTGTTCCAACATGCATCTCATCTCATTTGCAACCCTTTGCTTTAATTAGCTGAAGTCTTTGCTTCAGTCTTTCATATGTCAACCAGCTTGTGTACGCTTCCATATTTTTAATCAGTAGCCTGTTGTCTTTACTTTGTCATTCACACTAGCGTATAAATCTGCCCTTCTTATGATCCTCACTGCTTGGTAGAAGTCAAAACATGCTGTTTAATTTTCCTGTTCACTGATTTCCATTTGTTTCATGTTCAAATGCTGGCTCCTTTTTCCCTTTTAGGCATGCTGTGAGCATTAAACTTAGCGATTAAATGCCAAAAAAACAGCCCCTTTTCCCCTCCGCCCATGAATGGGTCATCCTAACCCTCTCTTGGGTGCTTACCTTACCCAAGCACTCTGTGTGTGTGCAGCCAGCCTAAATGGGGCTGTCTGCAAGGGGCTGCTGACATAGGTAAGCTAACAGTGGCTAATAAAACAGGTGCAAAACTCATGTGCTCTCCTAGGGGTGTGATGGGCTTTTTGCTGCTGCTTCTCTTTCTTTTTTTATTTAATCTACTACAGCATAATATTTCATTTCACCAACAACACAGCTTACTCCTGAGACACTAAGACCAGATGTAAAAGCATGAGAGGGTGGCATGTGGCTGTGCTCCAGCTTTTAAATTTTCTGGTTCATTGGTGGGGAGTCCGAGGTTGTCTGTAGTTGTCTGACAGGTGGGGTGGCTGGCCCTGACATCTGTGCCTGAGGCTGATCTCCAAAGTGAGCCTGGAGCGTGGTCAGGATGTCATCTAGCTTCTGGTCCATCTGCATGACCTGTTAAGAAACCAGAAAGCAGATGAGCTGTCAAATGGCTGCACATGCTGCTGGTGAGAGGCAGTCATTGGCGAAATGCTCAGGGAGGTGAAAGGTTGGCAGGGAGTGCTGGCATTTACAGTCCCCAAGAACCAAGAACTATTCCAGTTTTGTACAGTGTGCCTCTCTAGCTAATAGAAAGTTCAGGGATGCTATGAAGTTACAGGGAAGGGTGTAAAAGGAAGTGACGTGGCAGCAGAAAGCCAGGACGTTTGGTAGCCCCAGCACTTGACCACCTCTTTTAGCCATTTTGTCTCCCAGCACTTTCCCAGCATTGACAACTTCTCTTGATGATGATGCATCCTGCAAATATCTGCCCTAAAACTATCTTTCCTTCTGAGGTTTATCCTGCCTCTCACCTCCCTTCCCTTCTCTCCTCACCCCCTCAAAAAAAAAAAAAAAGGTAATCACTGGTAATCACTACCCCTAGTTTTGTTTTAGTCTGTTATGCTTTCCATTCCTGTCTTGGGAAACTAAACTGCTCCCCTCCCTTCACACTGTAAATAGATGCCTCAGTGATACATGCTGCAGTCAGAGATCCTACTAGATACGATGTTTATTCCCATGCATTGTTAGGAGGATAGCCTACCAAAAACCACATAATAATACCAATGACTTCATTTAAAAAAACAAACAACCATTGTATAGGAAGCTTGACATGCTAATCTCTCTTCTCATTTCATTACTCTCCATCTGAAACTTCTCATGCAGTCCTTAAACAGAGGAGTGTTTTCTAATTATTCTTTAATTTAAGCAGGGAAAAGCAAATTTCAGTTTCTTCCTACCGCTTCTTGAAATCATGGCCTGTATCTAGTAGCCCAAAGGAATATTAGCGTATTGCTGTGATAGGGCTTACATTCACTGTAGATGGCATCCTGCTCAGATTCATGTCAGCCAGCAGGACAGGCTGCAGACTGTTGACTGCTGTACTTTGCTCTAAAGGCAAAACTGTGGCCAGCAGCTTGTAAGCCATTGGGATTGCTTATAATGATGCTTGAATACAGTGCGGCTTTGTGTAATAGATGAGCCCAAGAAAAATGAGCATTTTTAAGAACATTGGATGGTTTACTTTACAGTTATCTCCTGTGAAAGTCTGAGCCTCTGAAAACTCTGATCTGTCCCAGTGGGTCTAATAAACTTTGATAGCAAACCTTTTAAAGTGATATCAGATCTAAACTGAGCTTTTATTAAAAAGGGAGAGAGAATGAGAGTGAGAAGGATTCCAGCCTTTTTCTGTGCAAAGATAACTTTGGAAATAACCATTGGCGGCATGGACTGAAAATTTAGCAGGCTTTAAAAAACAATGCAAAGAAAATCACCTTATCTGCTTTCCCTCCCTTTGCCTTTTCTCACTCCAAGTGTCTGCTCCCGTGGGGGCCCCTCAAAACTCAAGGTACCAGGAGCTTATTTAAGCTATATCATTTTGTCAACCACTCTTCTCTTCTATATACAATCTGCTGCTGTCTTGGGAAAGGAGAATTGGAGTCTCACTCCTGCCTCATGAGGGGAGATGTACTCATCTCTCAATTTGGATTTCAATTTGGCTTTCACAGCTACCATGTTCTAGCAGAAATGCCCCTCTCCTTGTCCCTGCTTTGGTGTGGTTATTCAAGGGTGTGGTCCACCCGAGGCAGTATTTTCAAGCAGTGAAGAGGGGGTATTTATGGCGTGGGTTGGCTAGCATCAACTTTCACCATGACTTCTGTTGGGTGCTTTCAGGGGCACAGCTGGCACCTTCAGAGCAGTGGCCAGGATGGGCAGGGCAGCACTTGTGGGAGGACTGGGGATGCTCACTGCAACACTCCCCAGGCGAGGGGCACTTGGTTCTTGGCTGCAGGTGAGTCTTAGTTCAACAGCAACTCAAATATGTAGTGTTGATCTTTGGTCAGGCAAAGGGACTCCAGAAAAATTGCTTCTGCCTCCTGTGTCATCAGTGGCAACTCTGACTTTTCCCTTGTCTCATGAGTTTCTGGGAGAGAGTGGGCAATTGTGGCAGGTCCTTCCTTCTCTCATATGGTCACTAACAGAAGCATCCTCTTCTCAGGCAAAGCAGAAGCATCCTCTGCTAAGCATGAACTTGGTTGGAAGTCTGGAAATCACTAGCAGCTGAAGGGTTAAGCAGCATGGAATTAATTTAAAAACCACAGCCTTTATTTTCTTCTCCATTCTTGAAAAGCCTGTTTGGCTGAAGTTGGTAATGACTCAACAGAATCTTTCTTAAGCAGAAATGTTACACGGAGCAGAAACTAAAGCAGAACGAATACATTACAGTAGGCAAAAGAAGGTGTAGGCAGGGAAATGGGATCAGGCAGATGAAAGATCTTTTGGGGATTTCTTTTTTAAGGCTTTGTTGATATTGATCTGCACGTTTGATCTTAGATAAATTATGCCTGCATGTTCCATATCATTTAAACTTGCTATATTTCTCTGCATTTTGCTAACTCAGTAAAAGAATGTGATATAGGAATAATTTCATGCACTTTTCTTTCCAGAAGAGGAGGAGGATGGAGAATGTAAATATTCATTTGTGGGGGGGGGAAAAAAAGAGGAATTGTTACATAAGGGAGTAGATTACACTATACTTCTGTCACACCGTCCATACAAAGAACTGCAAATGCTTCCTCAACATTAACAAACCAGGCTGCACAATTCTCTAGCCAGATACACAAGAGAGTTTTACTGGACATCTTTGAGATTAGAAGCAGGACAGTGCTAATTTAGTGACGTGTAAAATGTGGTCAGTGCCAGGTCTCTTCTAATCCTTAGCTTTGCATTTTACTCACAAGATCAAGCCACCACTTTCTTGCATCAGATACTTTAACATATGCCAAACTTTTAAAATGCAACTGAGCTGGTAAAACTTTAGTTAGAAAGACAAATTCTTAAGTACCTTGTCAAATTGGAGCCTGTATAAAAAGTGTTCAAATCTGGCTGCTAGTTAGTCCAGATTAAAGACTGACAAGAGAGTTTGGGACACTTAAAGGCTTGACTAAAGTCAGTAGGATAACTTGTAGGATTAAAAGACTTTTCACGTGGATAAGGGTTTTTCAGAAAAAAAAGGCCTGGTTTTAGATTTCTCTCAAACCATCTAGCAGCTACTGCTTTCCTTAAATCTTGCTGCAAACGGGATGAACTGCTGGTTTTGAATAACAGAGCCAGACAAGTGCATGGGTAAGGGGTTAAATTGTGCAACATGTTTCTCAGCTGAGTAAAGTGAGAAGCCATCCGGCCCAGCCGCAGAGTTTCCAGAGAGATGTGATATGCCCCTCGCAGGCTCCTTGGAGACAGGTGAGTTTGGCAGCTGTCCATGGGCAAATGGCAACAAAACTTCTGTTCTCCCACATCACAAAAGAGCTTCAGAGACAACCTATAAAATTGTTAAAATGCTTTTATATCCTTTCAAGTGCCCCATAGAAAGGAGACGGCAAAAGCAGTTTAAAATATTACACTGTTGTTATTGAGGCTATGAGGTGAGCTGAAGGAGTGTTGAAATGTATATTCATTTTAACATTCCCCCTGGAAAGGGGCTGGATTCCACGGTGACATGCAGGGCTGTTGGACAAAGAAAACATCTTGCAGCCAGCTCCAGTGAGCCACAGCAAGCCCCGAAGGGGAACCAGGTCAGTCACCTTATGGGACACAGCATGTCCCTGTCATTAACCTTGAGCAACAGGTTGGCTTTCACGTCTGTGGTTGTTTTTAAGCCTCTCTTCCTGAAAGCTGGTTCTCGACCCCTTATCTGAATACCTCATTGAACTCCCATTGCAGAAATGCCTTGTGGCAAAGAGTATTCTAGGAATGGCAGCAACATGGAGGAGGACCGACTCTTACTGGGGATTTGCCACATGCTGGACAGATTCCTAAATCCCCTGAGAGCTTTTTGACATGTGCACATGCACACTATAAACAAAATGCATGTGTGGAAAACTCAGTTGGAGCAGGCACATGATCTCTCCTCTCACTTTAATCCAGAAATATCCCTCCCCCCAGGTTGTGCCTATCATTTTAATATTATTTCTGGAGGCTGGAAAACCACTATCAATTATGTGCACAACACACTAACTTGAACTGTTTCCAGAGGAGTAGCAGAAGGGGAAGATGGTCTGCTGGAGCACTGAAGTAAATCTGCAAACCCACAAACATGCTCATATGTTGCTAAGTAGGTGGAGCTTTGTATCAAAAGTTAAACCCCATAAATCAAAATAAATTGCTGTCACCTCCTTAAGACTCTGCTGTCTCCCTGCCCATTGTGGTTCTACATGAACTGATCAAAATGGCTAAGCTGTACAGCCTTCATGCAGTTGTCTGAAACGTGTCTGGGCTGCTGGTGCCAGGGATGCAGCATGAAATGAAGCAGGGAGAGAAGACAGAACAGTTTGTGTTATTAATCAAAATGTCATAGAGCAACAGTAAGTTCTGCTGATTTAAGCTGGATCAACATTGGCTTCCTATTTGCCTAATTCAAGCAGGAAAATCATGAAACTGTGCCAACGGGCCAGCCCAAGTTGTAGTGGCAGGGCTGCCACACTGTGCTGTTGAGCCCCATGTCCTGCTATTGGAGCCACTGTATAATGAATGCTTTGGTTCTGGATGCCCCACAGGGCTTCCAGACTTTCTCTCCCCAACATCATCAGCCCTCATCCTACAACAAAGAGCAAAAGTAAGCATGGATGACCAAAAGTCAACAAAAGCACAGTGGCCATGGGAGGCGAGCAAGGGCATTCCCAGAGTCTCTACAAAGTGTTATGTGATATTTTCCAGTGATGCTGCAAAATGAACCACACACAGCTCTGAGGCCAGAGCTGCTGTGGCCAGCTGCCCCATTGCATACAAACACAACATTGCAGCCCAGGGTTTTCAAACCACCAGGGCCCCCACTGAACACCCCTTCTCTAGCAGAGGCCCACCTCTGAGCTCCCTGTCCTCCTACCACCTAGACATGCCCTCCCAAAAGCCTCCTA